TGAATGAATTCAGACAATTGGATAATAATAAGACAGACAATTACACTTATGTCATAAATCTGAGTAAACCCGAACTGTCCACTGACTACCAGTGCTCTGAAGCGGGTGTTTGTCAGACAAAAGGCGACTTTAGACGAGATTTAGGTAGTGTTAAGACACTCAAGTATTATCTAAGAGGACATGAACTTCAAATGGCATTGCAGTCCAAAGGAGGCACTCGAGGAAAATGTGGCAAAAATGCCAACAAAAATGTGACCACAATTTTCCGATTGCATTGTTCCTCATCGGCCGGTGTCGGAGAACCAGAATTTATGTACGAAAGCAACGATTGTGACTATGTTTTCAATTGGGAGACATCGATGGTTTGCCCAATAAATTTCATCAAACAAGAAGAATATATTGAATATATTACTGAACGTAACAAATCCCAGGAACGGATAGAAAAGGAAGAGTTGGATCATTTAGATAAGTCTACTGAAGACAGTCAACAATCTGGTGGTCACACAAATCTGGTGATCGGTTTAATAATAGCTATATGTTTTGTGGCTATTGTTTGTGCTCTATTGCTATACAAACCATTCAGGTATATTTGATAAATGTTTTTTATATTAATTAACTTTTTGTTGTAATTAAATTTATTTATTTATATTTAGAAATTATGTTTGGTCTATTTTGATACCAATAGACAATAGGTATTTATTTAATACAAATTATTCAAGAAAAATTTTCAAAATCATCTCATCTATATATAAATAACATGTCATTACATTTAAAATTATTAACACTAATTATTATAATCATCTTATTTTAATTATGGTAAATTTTACAATCCATTTTATCATATTATATTATGTTTTAACCATTTTAATATAACTTATTATTTATATATTTTTTAGATCCAATGATTTTTTATTAACTAAAAAACTTAAGTATCGTAAGTATTTTAATTATTGCAGGAATTACTAAGATTTGGATACAATTTATTACTGTCGACATCACAACTATCATCAGTAATACGTGATTAAAAAAAATCATTTTTTATAATCAATAAAACTGAATAACTGTTATATATATTTAAATAATAAATTAAATTATTGAAAACATATAGTTTGAAATACAATAATTAATTAACACACGCTCTACAGTACAGTATAAGTTAAAAAACAGTTTATTATTTAAAATTATTCATTAAAATTTTTTATACAATAAATCCAATAAAAAATAATAACAAATTAAAATTTAATATTTAGAAACAGTATAGTAAAATTGTTTATTAGTTATTCAAAATAAAAGTATTGAATTCAATATTTATATATAAATAATATTGAAATATGATTCTTGTTTTCATTATATTATGAATTGTATTATTTTAACACTTTTTTATATTACAATTTGAATAAAGAGTTATCAGTGGTTTTGCTGTTGATAAACATTGACGGAACTGTGGCATCGATATTATCAAAGCACGGGATATATATCTTACAGGTGTCCGTCTCTTCAGTTATATTGACTGTATTTTTCAACTGATATTGTCTACAAAAATCAAAATCACTAATCAGATGATTGTTTTTACATTTCTTGAATATGGATCCAAAAAACAGATCCGTGTATTGTTCGTAACAGAAACGATGCTATCAATTGAGATATTAATTGAGATATTAATTGAGATATTAATTGAGATATTAATTGAGATATTAATTGAGATATTAATTGAATTAATTGATAATTTTGTTGTTCATTATTATTGATGTTTAATACAAATAATAGTCTGTTTTACCACTCTTTTATGAGAACACTCTCTTTCTCTGGCTTTGCAACAGCTCTGTTGACTAATATAAATATAAAGTGATATAAATAATTGAAAATAAGATTGCTAACATACTTTGCTTGATCAATTAGCCCATCGATGTTTGATAAATTCTTACAAGTAATCAAAGAGTTAAAATTAATTATTTTAACTGATTTATTTTGATGATTATTTAGACCAATATATGTCCAATCATTATATGTTTTGCGTATAGATTGCATAATACTGTACCAAATGGTATATCTTGTGTATGGATCCAAATAATGTTGTATTTTAATAAATTTAATTTCTCTAAAGTATTAAGATCTTGGTTTCCCTTTTGATACAATTTGAAAATCGCAATATTAAACGCTTTATTAGTAATATAACCAAAACAAGTACTAATATTTGCAAATCCAAAAATAGTTTGTTTTGACTTATTTATTATTCTTTCATCAAAAATATTAAATTTTGTGATACTTAGTACAATATAAGGCATAATATTTTTGAAGTCAGTTAAAGTATAATTTATTGCCAACTTATTTCTTAAATCATCTTTAAATCCATTATTCAATTCTATATTAAATCGAATTGTTGTTATCTGTAAATTATTAAATTTAATGAATAACATTTAAGTTAATATTTTAAAATTCCGTAAATGTACACAACTTACATTTTGTCCATGACAATAGAAATTAATTGAATTTTTATAATACAATACAATTTCATATTGCATGTAATTATCCATTAAATACAAACACGACATAGTTATTTTAGGCGATTTATCATTTATATATTTTGTTACTTCAGTGTTATCAGTAATTTGAATAATAGAAGATTTGATAGTTTTAATGAATTCAATTAATGTGATTAAATTTTTTCTACTATAATATTGAATTATGTGTTTCTTTAAAACGATAGCAGTGTTAAAACCAAGTGTAATATTTTTACAAATGCCAATATAATTGGCCGAAAGTTCATACTTATTATTCTCAATCCAATTTATCATACATTATATAGGGTAAATTCAAATTTATAAAATTTCGTGTATTATTTTCGTTACATAAAACAGAATTATAATTACTGATTAAATTTATCCATTGAGATGATTCACTTTTAGCGTTAATGCTATTATACAATATATATAAATTAAAAAAAATAATGATTTAATTGACATTTTTTATAACAAGTTGTAGTTAAACACAGACTTAACTTAATGTATAGCAAAATATTAACTGTTATCGAAGTAATACTTGTTTTCAGTATTTATAAGATTTATTTAAATTTATTCATTTCAATTTTATATACAATAAACCCAAACAAAAATAAAAATAAAATTTAATATTTTAAAACAGTATAATAAAAATTGTTTTTTAGTAAATAAAGTTTGTTTTTTTATAATTTTATTCAAAGTAAAAGTATTGAATTCAATATTTATATATAAATAATATTGAAATATAATTTTTGTTTTCATTATGTTATGAATTTAATTATTCTTAACTTCATTTTTATATTACAATTTATGACATTATTTTTATTTAATAAATTTAAAATGTTTTATCATTAGATCATTAAATAAATGTAAAAAATTAATTAATTACTAAACAATTTTGTAATAACTAAAAAAAATATATAACAAAATACTTGTTAATTATAGTTATTATAGAAGTAATACTTGTTTTTATAATTTTATTCTAAGTAAAAATGTTTAATTTAATAGTTTTATATAAATAATATTCAAATATAATTTTTGTTTGTTTTTATTATGCAATGATTTTTATTATTTTTAACTGCATTTTTACATTTACAAACTTTTTTTGTTTAATAAATTTAAAATAATGTTTTATCATTAGATCATTAAATAAATGTAAAAATTAATTAATTACTAAAGAATTTTGTAATAACTAAAAAAAATATATAACAAAATACTTGTTAATTATAGTTATTATCGAAGTAATACTTATTTTTATAATTTTATTCAAAATAAAAATGTTCAATTTAATAGTTTTATAAAAATAATATTCAAATATAATTTTTATTTTCATTATGTAATGATTTATATTATTTTTAACTGCATATTTACATTATAATTTATAACAAACATTTTTTATTTAATAAATTTTAAATAATATTTTAAATTATTTTAGTAAAATTTAAAGTTATTTAAAAAATAATAAATTATCATTTGAGTAAAAACCATTGAAAATACTATAAAGCATTGCCATAAACAAACTTTTATGGCATAAAATATGTTTACACTTTATTATAGATTAATAATTTAAACTTATTAGTGAAGTATAAATGGTTTAGTATGAAAAGATAAACTATAGACATGTGAGGTTTCAAATGATTCAGTATATCAAAATAAACTCAACTATAAACATGTGGGGTATGAAATGTTTCAGTATAACAAAATAAAAAAATAGTCGTGAGGTATCAAATCTAAATAAATTAGATATAGAATTTATTAAAATTAATAAAAATATAAAATACCTTGACACTTTTATTTTATGAGATTTTGAAATTTTCATTTTTTAATGAATAAAGTTATTTTTTACAAAAACTAATTAATATTTTAAAAATTGCCAAAACACGTGTCAACTCATTTTAAAAGATGTATAATTTGCTTTTTAAAGAATTTTCCTATATCTTATAGTTTATGAGATATCGTACATCCCGGTGCTAGCATACCAGTGCCAGTATACATACAAAGTAGCAAAACTAATGTATTCGTCCCAGAAAACCATATTTCCATATTAAATATTTTTGTTAAATTCCAATCCATAGAGAAGTTATTCTCAAAAATCTAGTTCCGCCTATTTTGGAAATGATATATAGATTTGAGTGAACCTACTTTTTCTAAAAAAAGTTTGTTCGAAAATTGATTTCTTGTTTGAATAAATTTTATAAATTATAAAATAATAAGAAAACAAATAGTTGTTTATTGTATTTATATTTTTCTTTAATTCATATGATATTAATACTGAATGAAAAAGTTTATAAAATAAATTTCCTTAATTTTTATTTAAATTAAGTCATTTAAGAAATTAAGATTTAGTATATGATATAAAATTAATTTTTATATTAACTATAAAAAAAATAATTAATATTTTGGTTTTGTATTTAGGTATGAGAATCACAAATAGATAATATCTAATAGATTTGTTTTGTTGTAACAAATATTAAGATAATTACAGCAATCAGTTTAGGATAACTAACAGGAAGGACATGGTATGTGTTGTAGGCATGTGCTGTCGGTAATACTATTTGTCTTAAATAAATTACACAATTTGTCATCAATTTTGGCCATTTCATTGCACGCGTCCACTATGTTGTCCTCATGTAAACTATTATATAACTGTTTCCATTCATTAGTATTGCATTTACTTAACTATCAGATTTTGAAACAAAAAAAAACATAAAATTATAAATAAATAAAAAGTTAATACTAATAGAAAATAATTTAATTGATAATAAAAATACCAATCGTTTGACAATACATGTGTACTCCCGATGATAACAACAATATTCAGTAGTAATTTGTGTTAAATCTATTGGTTTATCTGATGTCAAACTCCACTTTTTAATGAGACAATTGTTAATCTTCGGCCCAATACTGATGCCACACAACATTGGATCGGTGTTTGAAATACAAGGAACAGTAGGTATGACTGTCGCTGATGTCATACTAGTTTGGATGTGTCGGTGATAATCCATGTTTCGATTTCTGACATTAGTATTATCATTACACGGATTCTGTGTAGTGGTTCGGCCATTGATAAACATTGACGGAACTGTGGCATCGATATTATCAAAGCACGGGATATATATCTTACAGGTGTCCGTCTCTTCAGTTATATTGACTGTATTTTTCAACTGATATTGTCTACAAAAATCAAAATCACTAATCAGATGATTGTTTTTACATTTCTTGAATATGGATCCAAAAAACAGATCCGTGTATTGTTCGTAACAGAAACGATGCTATCAATTGAGATATTAATTGAGATATTAATTGAGATATTAATTGAGATATTAATTGAGATATTAATTGAATTAATTGATAATTTTGTTGTTCATTATTATTGATGTTTAATACAAATAATAGTCTGTTTTACCACTCTTTTATGAGAACACTCTCTTTCTCTGGCTTTGCAACAGCTCTGTTGGCTAATAATACCATTGACAGCACCGACCCATTTGCTGTCCAAACATTTGTCCACTTTATTGACCACTTGATTGCAGGGATGACTAAGATTTGGATACAATAACTTTTGGTTATCATCAAAAACAAATAGATCCGATTGGATCCAATTCATTACTGTCGACATCACAACTATTATCAGTAATACGTGATTCAAAAAAATCATTTTTTATAATCAATAAAACTGAATAACTGTTATATATATTTAAATAATAAATTAAATTATTGAAAACATATAGTGTATAGTTTGAAATACAATAATTAATTAACACACGCTGTACTTATGAGTTTAAAAACATTTAGCAATTTATTATTTTTAGAGATATATCTAAATTATACATAAAATTGTTGACAATCATTGAATTAAACAATACATATAATAAAAAATAATTATAACATTTAGTTAGATCGTACAGAAAGCTCTTAACTGGTCTTACGATTGTAAAACCAATAGCAAAATCATCGGCCAATCGTAAGACCAGTTAAAAGCTTTCTCTACGATCTAACTAAATGTTATGATAGTTAACAAAATATTTTAAAATGTCAAACGAAGATTTACTTTTGACTTATAGTAATGGCGACGACAGAGAGTGTAGTAAAGGAATGGGAATAAAGACTGAGATTACGTTTAAGTGCGATAAACATATCGGGAATCCGAAGTTTATTGAACACATGGTTTCCGAGTGTATCTACAGATTTGAATGGAAGACTTTAATGGCGTGTCCAGTATTGGATCAAATCGATGAACTCATCTATAAGGATGGCTTTCTGGAGGACAATCGACTCGATGCCTACATTAATGTATCGGCACTAATGGGAACAACTTTTAATGTGAATGAATTCAGACAATTGGATAATAATAAGACAGACAATTACACTTATGTCATAAATCTGAGTAAACCCGAACTGTCCACTGACTACCAGTGCTCTGAAGCGGGTGTTTGTCAGACAAAAGGCGACTTTAGACGAGATTTAGGTAGTGTTAAGACACTCAAGTATTATCTAAGAGGACATGAACTTCAAATGGCATTGCAGTCCAAAGGAGGCACTCGAGGAAAATGTGGCAAAAATGCCAACAAAAATGTGACCACAATTTTCCGATTGCATTGTTCCTCATCGGCCGGTGTCGGAGAACCAGAATTTATGTACGAAAGCAACGATTGTGACTATGTTTTCAATTGGGAGACATCGATGGTTTGCCCAATAAATTTCATCAAACAAGAAGAATATATTGAATATATTACTGAACGTAACAAATCCCAGGAACGGATAGAAAAGGAAGAGTTGGATCATTTAGATAAGTCTACTGAAGACAGTCAACAATCTGGTGGTCACACAAATCTGGTGATCGGTTTAATAATAGCTATATGTTTTGTGGCTATTGTTTGTGCTCTATTGCTATACAAACCATTCAGGTATATTTGATAAATGTTTTTTATATTAATTAACTTTTTGTTGTAATTAAATTTATTTATTTATATTTAGAAATTATGTTTGGTCTATTTTGATACCAATAGACAATAGGTATTTATTTAATACAAATTATTCAAGAAAAATTTTCAAAATCATCTCATCTATATATAAATAACATGTCATTACATTTAAAATTATTAACACTAATTATTATAATCATCTTATTTTAATTATGGTAAATTTTACAATCCATTTTATCATATTATATTATGTTTTAACCATTTTAATATAACTTATTATTTATATATTTTTTTAGATCCAATGATTTTTTATTAACTAAAAAACTTAAGTATCGTAAGTATTTTAATTATTGCAGGAATTACTAAGATTTGGATACAATTTATTACTGTCGACATCACAACTATCATCAGTAATACGTGATTAAAAAAAATCATTTTTTATAATCAATAAAACTGAATAACTGTTATATATATTTAAATAATAAATTAAATTATTGAAAACATATAGTTTGAAATACAATAATTAATTAACACACGCTCTACAGTACAGTATAAGTTAAAAAACAGTTTATTATTTAAAATTATTCATTAAAATTTTTTATACAATAAATCCAATAAAAAATAATAACAAATTAAAATTTAATATTTAGAAACAGTATAGTAAAATTGTTTATTAGTTATTCAAAATAAAAGTATTGAATTCAATATTTATATATAAATAATATTGAAATATGATTCTTGTTTTCATTATATTATGAATTGTATTATTTTAACACTTTTTTATATTACAATTTGAATAAAGAGTTATCAGTGGTTTTGCTGTTGATAAACATTGACGGAACTGTGGCATCGATATTATCAAAGCACGGGATATATATCTTACAGGTGTCCGTCTCTTCAGTTATATTGACTGTATTTTTCAACTGATATTGTCTACAAAAATCAAAATCACTAATCAGATGATTGTTTTTACATTTCTTGAATATGGATCCAAAAAACAGATCCGTGTATTGTTCGTAACAGAAACGATGCTATCAATTGAGATATTAATTGAGATATTAATTGAGATATTAATTGAGATATTAATTGAGATATTAATTGAGATATTAATTGAATTAATTGATAATTTTGTTGTTCATTATTATTGATGTTTAATACAAATAATAGTCTGTTTTACCACTCTTTTATGAGAACACTCTCTTTCTCTGGCTTTGCAACAGCTCTGTTGACTAATATAAATATAAAGTGATATAAATAATTGAAAATAAGATTGCTAACATACTTTGCTTGATCAATTAGCCCATCGATGTTTGATAAATTCTTACAAGTAATCAAAGAGTTAAAATTAATTATTTTAACTGATTTATTTTGATGATTATTTAGACCAATATATGTCCAATCATTATATGTTTTGCGTATAGATTGCATAATACTGTACCAAATGGTATATCTTGTGTATGGATCCAAATAATGTTGTATTTTAATAAATTTAATTTCTCTAAAGTATTAAGATCTTGGTTTCCCTTTTGATACAATTTGAAAATCGCAATATTAAACGCTTTATTAGTAATATAACCAAAACAAGTACTAATATTTGCAAATCCAAAAATAGTTTGTTTTGACTTATTTATTATTCTTTCATCAAAAATATTAAATTTTGTGATACTTAGTACAATATAAGGCATAATATTTTTGAAGTCAGTTAAAGTATAATTTATTGCCAACTTATTTCTTAAATCATCTTTAAATCCATTATTCAATTCTATATTAAATCGAATTGTTGTTATCTGTAAATTATTAAATTTAATGAATAACATTTAAGTTAATATTTTAAAATTCCGTAAATGTACACAACTTACATTTTGTCCATGACAATAGAAATTAATTGAATTTTTATAATACAATACAATTTCATATTGCATGTAATTATCCATTAAATACAAACACGACATAGTTATTTTAGGCGATTTATCATTTATATATTTTGTTACTTCAGTGTTATCAGTAATTTGAATAATAGAAGATTTGATAGTTTTAATGAATTCAATTAATGTGATTAAATTTTTTCTACTATAATATTGAATTATGTGTTTCTTTAAAACGATAGCAGTGTTAAAACCAAGTGTAATATTTTTACAAATGCCAATATAATTGGCCGAAAGTTCATACTTATTATTCTCAATCCAATTTATCATACATTATATAGGGTAAATTCAAATTTATAAAATTTCGTGTATTATTTTCGTTACATAAAACAGAATTATAATTACTGATTAAATTTATCCATTGAGATGATTCACTTTTAGCGTTAATGCTATTATACAATATATATAAATTAAAAAAAATAATGATTTAATTGACATTTTTTATAACAAGTTGTAGTTAAACACAGACTTAACTTAATGTATAGCAAAATATTAACTGTTATCGAAGTAATACTTGTTTTCAGTATTTATAAGATTTATTTAAATTTATTCATTTCAATTTTATATACAATAAACCCAAACAAAAATAAAAATAAAATTTAATATTTTAAAACAGTATAATAAAAATTGTTTTTTAGTAAATAAAGTTTGTTTTTTTATAATTTTATTCAAAGTAAAAGTATTGAATTCAATATTTATATATAAATAATATTGAAATATAATTTTTGTTTTCATTATGTTATGAATTTAATTATTCTTAACTTCATTTTTATATTACAATTTATGACATTATTTTTATTTAATAAATTTAAAATGTTTTATCATTAGATCATTAAATAAATGTAAAAAATTAATTAATTACTAAACAATTTTGTAATAACTAAAAAAAATATATAACAAAATACTTGTTAATTATAGTTATTATAGAAGTAATACTTGTTTTTATAATTTTATTCTAAGTAAAAATGTTTAATTTAATAGTTTTATATAAATAATATTCAAATATAATTTTTGTTTGTTTTTATTATGCAATGATTTTTATTATTTTTAACTGCATTTTTACATTTACAAACTTTTTTTGTTTAATAAATTTAAAATAATGTTTTATCATTAGATCATTAAATAAATGTAAAAATTAATTAATTACTAAAGAATTTTGTAATAACTAAAAAAAATATATAACAAAATACTTGTTAATTATAGTTATTATCGAAGTAATACTTATTTTTATAATTTTATTCAAAATAAAAATGTTCAATTTAATAGTTTTATAAAAATAATATTCAAATATAATTTTTATTTTCATTATGTAATGATTTATATTATTTTTAACTGCATATTTACATTATAATTTATAACAAACATTTTTTATTTAATAAATTTTAAATAATATTTTAAATTATTTTAGTAAAATTTAAAGTTATTTAAAAAATAATAAATTATCATTTGAGTAAAAACCATTGAAAATACTATAAAGCATTGCCATAAACAAACTTTTATGGCATAAAATATGTTTACACTTTATTATAGATTAATAATTTAAACTTATTAGTGAAGTATAAATGGTTTAGTATGAAAAGATAAACTATAGACATGTGAGGTTTCAAATGATTCAGTATATCAAAATAAACTCAACTATAAACATGTGGGGTATGAAATGTTTCAGTATAACAAAATAAAAAAATAGTCGTGAGGTATCAAATCTAAATAAATTAGATATAGAATTTATTAAAATTAATAAAAATATAAAATACCTTGACACTTTTATTTTATGAGATTTTGAAATTTTCATTTTTTAATGAATAAAGTTATTTTTTACAAAAACTAATTAATATTTTAAAAATTGCCAAAACACGTGTCAACTCATTTTAAAAGATGTATAATTTGCTTTTTAAAGAATTTTCCTATATCTTATAGTTTATGAGATATCGTACATCCCGGTGCTAGCATACCAGTGCCAGTATACATACAAAGTAGCAAAACTAATGTATTCGTCCCAGAAAACCATATTTCCATATTAAATATTTTTGTTAAATTCCAATCCATAGAGAAGTTATTCTCAAAAATCTAGTTCCGCCTATTTTGGAAATGATATATAGATTTGAGTGAACCTACTTTTTCTAAAAAAGTTTGTTCGAAAATTGATTTCTTGTTTGAATAAATTTTATAAATTATAAAATAATAAGAAAACAAATAGTTGTTTATTGTATTTATATTTTTCTTTAATTCATATGATATTAATACTGAATGAAAAAGTTTATAAAATAAATTTCCTTAATTTTTATTTAAATTAAGTCATTTAAGAAATTAAGATTTAGTATATGATATAAAATTAATTTTTATATTAACTATAAAAAAAATAATTAATATTTTGGTTTTGTATTTAGGTATGAGAATCACAAATAGATAATATCTAATAGATTTGTTTTGTTGTAACAAATATTAAGATAATTACAGCAATCAGTTTAGGATAACTAACAGGAAGGACATGGTATGTGTTGTAGGCATGTGCTGTCGGTAATACTATTTGTCTTAAATAAATTACACAATTTGTCATCAATTTTGGCCATTTCATTGCACGCGTCCACTATGTTGTCCTCATGTAAACTATTATATAACTGTTTCCATTCATTAGTATTGCATTTACTTAACTATCAGATTTTGAAACAAAAAAAAACATAAAATTATAAATAAATAAAAAGTTAATACTAATAGAAAATAATTTAATTGATAATAAAAATACCAATCGTTTGACAATACATGTGTACTCCCGATGATAACAACAATATTCAGTAGTAATTTGTGTTAAATCTATTGGTTTATCTGATGTCAAACTCCACTTTTTAATGAGACAATTGTTAATCTTCGGCCCAATACTGATGCCACACAACATTGGATCGGTGTTTGAAATACAAGGAACAGTAGGTATGACTGTCGCTGATGTCATACTAGTTTGGATGTGTCGGTGATAATCCATGTTTCGATTTCTGACATTAGTATTATCATTACACGGATTCTGTGTAGTGGTTCGGCCATTGATAAACATTGACGGAACTGTGGCATCGATATTATCAAAGCACGGGATATATATCTTACAGGTGTCCGTCTCTTCAGTTATATTGACTGTATTTTTCAACTGATATTGTCTACAAAAATCAAAATCACTAATCAGATGATTGTTTTTACATTTCTTGAATATGGATCCAAAAAACAGATCCGTGTATTGTTCGTAACAGAAACGATGCTATCAATTGAGATATTAATTGAGATATTAATTGAGATATTAATTGAGATATTAATTGAGATATTAATTGAATTAATTGATAATTTTGTTGTTCATTATTATTGATGTTTAATACAAATAATAGTCTGTTTTACCACTCTTTTATGAGAACACTCTCTTTCTCTGGCTTTGCAACAGCTCTGTTGGCTAATAATACCATTGACAGCACCGACCCATTTGCTGTCCAAACATTTGTCCACTTTATTGACCACTTGATTGCAGGGATGACTAAGATTTGGATACAATAACTTTTGGTTATCATCAAAAACAAATAGATCCGATTGGATCCAATTCATTACTGTCGACATCACAACTATTATCAGTAATACGTGATTCAAAAAAATCATTTTTTATAATCAATAAAACTGAATAACTGTTATATATATTTAAATAATAAATTAAATTATTGAAAACATATAGTGTATAGTTTGAAATACAATAATTAATTAACACACGCTGTACTTATGAGTTTAAAAACATTTAGCAATTTATTATTTTTAGAGATATATCTAAATTATACATAAAATTGTTGACAATCATTGAATTAAACAATACATATAATAAAAAATAATTATAACATTTAGTTAGATCGTACAGAAAGCTCTTAACTGGTCTTACGATTGTAAAACCAATAGCAAAATCATCGGCCAATCGTAAGACCAGTTAAAAGCTTTCTCTACGATCTAACTAAATGTTATGATAGTTAACAAAATATTTTAAAATGTTTTATAATAAACTTAGATTCAATGCATTAATAACTTATATAAGTAATTGTAAAATCAAATTGCTAACATAATTTGCTTCAACAATTAGTGTATCAATATTTGATAAATCTGTACAATTAATCATAGAATTAAAATTAATTAGTTTAACTGATTTATTTTGATGATTATTTAGACCAATATATGTCTAATCATTGTATGTTTTGCGTATAGATTGCATAATACTGTACCAAATGGTATATCTTGTGTATGGATCCAAATAATGTTGTATTTTAATAAATTTAATTTCTTAATTGTATTATAATTTGTGTTTCTATAATACTCATACAATTATTATACAATTATACAATTATTGTATGAGTATTATAGAGACAAGAGACAACATTATTTGGATCCATACACAAGATATACCATTTGGTACAGTATTATGCAATCTATACGCAAAACATACAATGATTGGACATATATTGGTCTAAATAATCATCAAAATAAATCAGTTAAAATAATTAATTTTAAGTTATTTGAAAATCGCAATATTAGTAATATAACCAAAACAAGTACTAATATTTCCAAATCCAAAAATAGTTTGTTTTGACTTATTTATTATTCTTTCATCAAAAATATTAAATTTTGTAATCTTTAGCACAATATAAGGCATAGTATTTTTGAAGTCAGTTAAAGTATAATTTATTTCCAACTTATTTCTTAAATCATATATAAATCCATTATTCAATTCTATATTAAATCTATTTGTTGTTATTTGTAAAATGTTGAATTTTAATGAATAACAATTAATTTAATATAAAATACTGTAAATTTATACATTACTTACATTTTGTCCAAAATAGAAATCAAAATTAATAGTATTTTTATAAATACAATACAATTTCATATTGCATGTAATTATCCATTAAATGCAAACATGATATGATTATTTTATGTAATTTATCAAGTACATATTTTGTTAATTGATTTTTTATCAGTCATTTGAATAATAAGAGTTTCGATAATTTTAATGAATTCAATTAATGTGATTAAATTTTTTCTGCCATAATATTGAATTATTTGTTGGTTTTAACATTGCTATCATTTAATCTGTAATGAAAATATTACACGAAATTTTTATAAATTTGAAGTTACCGTATATAATGTATGACAAAAACAATTGGATTGAAAACAATAAGTATGAACTTTCCGTCAATAATATTGGTTTTAACGTTGCTATCATTTTAAACCAATTGAAATATTTTTACAAATACCAATATTATTGACGGAAAGTTCATACTTATTGTTTTCAATCCAATTGTTTTTGTCATACATTATATACGGTAACTTCAAATTTATAAAAATTTCGTGTAATATTTTCATTACATAAAATTGAATTATCATTAGTGATTAAATTTATCCATTGAAATGATTGACTTTTAGAATGGATACTATTATACAATACAAATAAATAAATAAATGATTTAATTGACATTTTTTTTATAACAAGTTGTAGTTACAAACAGACTTATCTTAATGTATAGCAAAATATTAACTATTATCGAAGTAATACTTGTTTTCAGTATTTATAAGATTTATTTAAATTTATTCATTTCAATTTTATATACAATAAACCCAAACAAAAATAAAAATAAAATTTAATATTTGAAAACAGTATAATAAAAATTGTTTTCTAGTGAATAAATTTTGTTTTCATAATTTTATTTAAACTAAAATCCTTGAATTCAATATTTTTATATAAATAATATTGAAATATAATTCTTGTTTTTATTATGTAATGAATTTTATTATTCTTAACTGCATTTTTATATTACAATTTATAACATTTTTTTTATTTAACAAATTTTAAATAATGTTTTATAAAATTAGTCAAATTTAAATAAAAGTTATTATAGAAGTAATGCTTGTTTTTATAATTTTATTCTAAGTAAAAATGTTTAATAAATTTTAAATAATGTTTTGACAGCCGACAGATGGCTACTCATAAATAAATCATAATTTTTTTTAAACCGCTTTTTATATCTATATATACTTATGCTTTTCATTGTATTAATCAGTAGCAATCAGTTATTCAATATTATACGACATTCAGTAGTTAAACATTAATAAAATTTATTCAATTTTAATTACTTGTCGTAAATTGTTGGCCTAATCACTCTTCGGGCTAACAGTTTTATCATTAGATCATTAAATAAATGTGAAAAATTTTAATTAATTACTAAACAATTTTGTAATAACTAAAAAAAATTATATAACAAAATACTTGTTAATTATAGTTATTATAGAAGTAATACTTGTTTTTATAATTTTATTCTAAGTAAAAATGTTTAATTTAATAGTTTTATATAAATAATACTCAAATAAAATTTTTGTTTTTTATTATGCAATGATTTATATTATTTTTAACTGCATTTTTACATTATAATTTATAACAAACATTTATTGTTTAATAAATTTTAAATAATGTTTTATAAAATTATTTTAGTAAAATTTAAAGTTATTTAAAAAAATAATAAATTAGTAATTGAGTCAAAAAATGATTTCTTTTTTGAATAAATTTTATAAATTATAAAATAATAAGAAAACAAATAGTTGTTTATTGTATTAATATTTTTCTTTAATTCATATGATATCTGTATAAAAGTTCTAAACAATTTAAAAAAATAGATAATAAAATCTCAAAAAATCAACCAAAAAATCAATTTAATAATATTTAAATTTGTTAAACATTTAATTAATAAATTATAACATTTTTTATTTTATTATCGAATATGAATTATTAATTTTGGCATCAAATACAACTAACAAAATACAATATATTTTCTATTATTATTATTATTATTATTATTAGTACATTAATGTACTTTAATTAATTTACCAGAAATACAAATTAGTTTTATAATTATTTAAATTAATATTTAAAAATACTCTTTGATTATAACAGATCATTTAATAAATGTGAAAAAATTTAATTAATTACTAAACAATTTTGTAATAACTAAAAAAAATTATATAACAAAATACTTGTTAATTATAAACAAATTTTTCATATGATATTTGGTATGAAGTTTGAGCTGCAAAACTGGGATCCGGTTATCAATACATATATATATGTTATAATAGTTTATTAGGAATGGACTAGAAGTTTGATTAATATATAATTTTTTGTGATTATAAAAACCAAACCGAAACTATCAATTGCAGCGCAACCGTCACTCACAAAAAAAAAATCATTAATATCATCACATCCTCAGCTATAGTCACACAAAGAAAACAAATCGACTCCTTGTTTATCACAGATTTGTTTACATATTTAATTAATGACTAAATTAGAAAAAAACTATAATATAATAGTAATTAATAAGTAAACAAATAGCAATTATATATCAATATACAGTATATATATAATAAATATTACAATAGTAACCAATAAATTAGACAACACTTTACACACATATCACTAACTCAAATACAATTATAACAAATAATTTTCACAATAATTATCAACAAAAATATATAAAAAATGCCAAAACCATAGGTCAAGGATTAAGTGTTTGTGTGTAATGTGAAGTCAAGTGAGAAGATCAACGTCGGAGTCGTCGTAAATGCTATAGTAAGGCACGTGAGATGATGGCTGTCCTGCAATTGTGTTTGAATATTGATGACTATTGTTGCCGCCGTCGATGATAACCACTTCGGCTTTCGGTTTGTTGCTGTTGTTGTCCTTTTCATGCGATGCCAACTGTGTAGAGGATTAATGGATATGTTTTGCCGGTTTATAAAGATATCTATACGACAATCGAGTTTCACGTAGTATTTGTTAAAATAAATACAAATGCAAGACATATGACACAAGTGTGTGTGTGTTGTGAATAATATGTGTAAAAATAATAATTTTTGATTTGAAAAAAATAAATCAGTAATTATAAGTAAATAATCAAAAAAAAAAATCAAATTCAAACATAAATTGAAAGAATATTCAATAGAAATTAATTGACAGAAAATAGTTTTTGTTTTTTTTTTGCAAAAAATCAATACAAACTATGAAAAACAGAAAGATTTTATGATTACAGGAGATTACAAACAATGCAATGAAACTTTGACTTTAGTTTTTTTTATTAAAAAAACAAATTAGGTATTGAACTGAAAATAAAAAACCAAACACCAAAAAATATATAAGTTTGAAATTAGGGAATGGATTATAATATTGGGTTATATGGGGTAACAGTAATCTATTGGGGGATCACATACCTGATGATAATGAAATGTATGATTAGTTGTGTCCGATTTGAAAACACGTCTCACTTTAAACCAAACCACTTGTCTRAATAAATTTAATTARAAAAAAGTTAATAAAAAAATCATTTATTAATTCTAGTTTACCTGATGTTAGGTTTGTAGAAGAGTAGGGCACAAACAGTAGCCACAAAACATATAACAATAAGGATACCGATCCACAGATTTGTGTGACCACCAGATTGTTGATTGTCTTCAGTAGACTTAGCTAAATGATCCAACTCTTCCTTTTCCATCCGTTCCTGGGATTTGTTACGTTCGGTAATATATTCAATATATTCTTCTTGTTTGAGGAAATTCATTGGACAGACCATCGATGTCTCCCAATTGAAAACRTAGTCACAATCGTTGCTTTCGTACATAAATTCTGGTTCTCCGACACCGGCCGATGAGGAACAATGCAATCGGAAAATTGTGGTCACATTTTTGTTGGCATTTTTGCCACATTTTCCTCGAGTGCCTCCTTTGGACTGCAATGCCATTTGAAGTTCATGTCCTCTAAGATAATACTTGAGTGTCTTAACACTACCTAAATCTCGTCTAAAATCGCCTTTTGTCTGACAAACACCCGCTTCAGAGCACTGGTAGTCAGTGGACAGTTCAGGTTTACTCAGATTAATGACATAAGTGTAATTGTCTGTCTTATTATTATCCAATTGTCTGAATTCATTCACATTAAAAGTAGTTCCCATTAGTGCCGATACATTAATGTAGGCATCGAGTCGATTGTCCTCCAGAAAGCCATCCTTATAGATGAGTTCATCCCTTTGATCCAATACTGGACACGACATAAACGTCTTCCATTCAAATCTATAGATACATTGAGGCTTTGAAAAGTCAATAAACTTCGGATTCCCGATATGTTTGTCGCACTTAAACGTAATCTCAGTCTTCGCTCGCATTCCTTGAGGACACTCCCTGTCGTCGCCATTACTATAAGTCAAAAGTAGATCTTCGTTTGACAAGATCTTTAACTCATCAATAGACGGATCGCCTAAACTGATGCCACAATCCAACTGTTTCTGTGAATTATAGACACATTTACACGAACCGGCGTTCGGGTCCTTACAGCCGATACTTTTCGGTACTTTAGAGCAAACATTCAAATAATAGACAGAAGACGAGTCCTTTGGATCAGTTGTGTTCCATGAATGCGATATCGATGACAGTTGTCTTAAGTTATAGTATTTTCCACTTTCACTGAGTATTGCACACTTCGGCGGTTGAATATTACATATCAATGAGTTCTGCCATTCAAACTGAGCCACACATGAGTTGATTGTCTTGAATTTTGGCTCAGAGTTTGTCTCATTTGGATTGCATTTAAATGATATTTCTGTCGACAAAGTTTTGTTAATGTCTTCATTACACTTCGATCCGTCCGCATATCTTAGCGTCAAATCGACGCCATTATAGATGAAAAAACTTGAAGTCAACCGACCGTAACTCATACCCGAGTCGTTGTGCTGAAGACAGGCCGATGTCTGGTAGCATTCGTGTGCATTCAAAGAGTTGGCTAAACCGCAAACGTTTAGCTCAAAAGTGGATCCGTTGTCCATCGGTATTCGATACGGATTATTCGACTTCTTCTTAAGTGATGTTAAATCGACAGATAATCCTGTCCTCTGATCCGTGAAATAACACGAATTATTAACGAGTTTTGTCGGTTCAATATAGTTGCAAACGGCAGAAGTACGCCATTCTATAAAATAGGCGCAATCTTCGGCATCCATTGTCTCACTTCCCGGTTCGTTGACAATCATATTCTCAATGCCGGCCAACGGATCACAAACAAACTTTATCCGAGTCCGCAATTTCTCATGAGGTCTGGCCGGACACGGACTCCCGTTCTCATAAAATAAATTTAAACTGTCGTCAAACAGACGAATTGGACCACTTGTCGGTTCTCCTAAACTCAAAACGCTATCATTGGAACCGATAGTCACCCTACAAATGGCAGCATTTGGTCCGCAATTGTTTATACTCGAGTGGCTGAAGGTTTCGAAAATCCGATTCAAAGGTCGGCAAACATTTATATAATAGATTACGTGTTGACTCGTACTCGGAGACAGACCAACAGTTAGATGGTTACCGTTTGTCATAACCAATTGATTCAAATCCATGTGATGGGAACCGTTCTCCCAAATACAATGGACTGTCTTCTTCTTCTCCACAATTGGTGCCGGCGTTGATGTTGTTGTCGTTATTGAGTTATTAGTAGTAGTCTTGCAGACAGACTTTGTGGTGTAATTTAATTCTATACCACAAGTAGTGGAAATTTCGTGATTGAAATTGGGCTAAAAAATACAAAATATATTTTTTAATTATTAAAAATTAATGATATTTATCACAAACAGTGTCTTCTCCACAGTAGAAGTTGATAGTCATTGTATAGTTAAGTATCCGATGAATATCACACTCTGATCCGTCGTAAACAACTTTTATATACTCTTTGTGCGATCCGTTGTCGGGAACAAAGTCTGTGGACTTCAATCGATAGCCTAATATTCAAATCACAAATCAGTTATTATTACTAAAACTATATCATATATATCTATAAATTCATTACCAATAGGTGTCTTATCAGTGGTCTTGTGGCCACAGATTTGTCGGCCAATACAGACTTCGGGTGTCTTATCTTTGGTGTCAAACACTCGGCAAATGTTAATTAAAACGTCAAAACTATCGGTTTTATTAGTAGACGTATTCGTGTAGTTATGAATATATTTATATGTTTTACTGTAAATCAAATTAAAAAAAAGTCAAACAATTATCTCAATAATAATAATAATTTTCACTCAATTCATGTCATATACTCATTAATTGTCGACAAGTCGTAACCACTCATGTTATGACACGAAAGGCCATTGTGATCGGCAACGGCTGTCGATATGGCCAACAGATACGACAAATCAATGACCAAAATACCGATAACAGTGATTGCCGTTAATCGACTCATCACTGGTTTTGATGTTTAAACCAAATTGTTTTATAATGTCTGCTGTAATCAACAAAAACACAAATGTAATGAAAAGACAAACAAATTGAAGGATCAGTTAATCAATATATTGATATATCATATCATATATCCTATGATATGATAATGAAATTAATTATTTAAAAAACAAAAATAATTTACACAAAAAATAGTCTCCAAAATGACAACAACAACAAAAATTTTCACAATTTATTTGCGATTCAATCAAATAGTACTAAACAATAGTATTATTAATAATACTACCAATTATTATGAAATTACTATAAATTTATTAATAATTATTTATAACAACAAAAATAATGATTCATTTGTTTGCCATTAATATTACTTTAATATATTAGACTTCAATCATGAGTTTACACTTTTTTTCTCTATTAACTCATAATAATAATAATAATACTGTAATATTTGAAATGTATTGGTATTGCAATACAGTATATACAGTATAATATACAGTGTATTGTACTGTATGTTACTATTTGTCAAAACTTATCGCTTAATAATAACATAACGTATATAACGTATATATAAACAGCTTGTAGTGTGCAAAGGGCTTGTAGTGGTTAAACAATCGGGGGGTTAAACAACAGCTATAGGGTAGGGATGCTATGGGATGGGGGGTTGTTTGATAATAAGTGGGAGGAACTGCTATTCACAAACTACATATGTCTGATGTTTGGATATTAAATTATTTTATTATATGTTTTAACAAAATTTATATAAAAGTACTTAAATTTATATTCTGTACAAACAGTAGAAATAATTATTACAATATTACAGTAAATTTAATTGTTGTAGAAATTAATATAACAATAAAACATTTTTTATATATATTTATTTATCTCATTTTAAATTACAATTTCCATACACTTGTATGATATTTCTTTTTTTACTGTTAATAAAATGTTTATTTGTAACATATTTTTTTTGCTCTCAATATTAGTTTCGCTACATTTTTAGTTTAATTTGGTTTAAAAAATAAAATTTTGTTGCATTATTATAATTAATTTATTATATTTGAAATATAAAAACTATTTCCCACTCTATCTTAGGTAATAAAAGTATTATTTTGTCTACATTTTCCTTATATAGTAGTCTATAGCAACAATTTTTTTGTTATATATTAATATTTGTTATTTTTGTAGATAAGATTTGTTAAATGAAATGAAATTTATCAAATAATATATTATTAGATTAATTTTATTAGTTTTAAAAAAATTATTTTATTTTTTAAAAGTTAAACAACAAAATTGTATTAATCCATTCAAATTATTTTATCTAATTAAACACTAGACTATTGATCAAATACATCAGACTATAAATGCAAATCTACTATCAATATATATATATATTGATAGTAGATTTGCATTTATAGACAATATATTGGTATTTAAAGTTGTTTAATATTAATGCAATATATGTATAGAATATTATTTTCAAATTTATTTTCTAATACCAGATAATTCAATACATAGTTTACATAATATTGAATCTATAGAACCGACTGATAACTGATATAACAATTCATAGTTAAACAAAATTAAAATTGTATTAACACATTGAAATTATATACTGTATCTAATAAAACACTACACTATTTATACAGTTATTATTATATTTTTAATAAATTAAATTAATTGTAATTTTATTGATTATAATGATAAGAATATTTTAATATACTTATTGTAATTTTTATTCTCATATTATAATGTAGACATACATTATTTAAAATTATTTAAAGCAAATGCAATAATACAGTATATTATTTAATATTCATTTGAAACCTATTTCTTTTTAATGATATACTATATACATGTATATTTTAAATTATAAAGTTTATTACTGTTACAGTAATACTGTATCTATGTGTTAAAAAACATTCAATGCTATATGAGTTGCAATAAAAATAATTTATTAGAAATCCAATATATTGATCTAGCTAACAAATTAAAATAATATTCTATACAAAATATTGATATTTATTTAATAGATAAAAAAATTATAAATAAATAATAACAAATACATATATATATATATATATATATATATATATACAAATAAATATACAGTACTATAACTATATACTTTATAATGAATGTAAATTTATAAAACTGATATTATTAAGCATGTAATACAAGTTACAACAATCAATCATAAAAATCGTAACTAAAATACAATAAATTTTATTAATTGTAACAACAATACTGTAATTAACTGTATTATAATATAATAATAATTGTATAAATTTACTAATTCAATATATTAATATATGTTAACTGTGCAAATACAGTACTATTACACTAGTTAATACTAAATAATCATATATGTGATAAAATGGTAAAAGTTATCATTAACATTGATAACTTATCAATGATAACTCTATAGATTATAGATATTAAATAAAATTAGGGTATTACATATAATACAGTATATACATATAAATTTATATACACAGTGTTTCTGTATTAAAAATTTTATTTAATATTTATTGTAATTTTATGATAACAGTTCTGCTAAATCAATGATAAATCAAATAAAGTTTAGTAAATTTAATTTAGTAAAGTGTAAAGTAAAGTGTTATACAGTACATACAATGCCCATTAGCTATTTATATGACACTTGACTTTTAAGGTTCGGCTAATATTATAATACCTGTGCAACAAAAATATATAAATATACCTGTATACCTGTAATATACTAGAGTAGTAGCAGTATAGTAGATGGATGAATAGTTCATTAAATACATGTGTGGCAGTTAAAGATACAAAAATACAGTATATAATGTACTATTAATAACCTAATTTGATAATTATGCACAAATATATATATATATATTGTATTTACATTTATACATACAGTACTGTATTATAAAGTTTGTACATTTTATTTAAATATTTGATAAGCTATACAAATAATTAAAACAATAATAAAAAATTTCTCATATCGATTTTAACGATTACTTTATTTTATTTTATTTATTATTATTAGCCAAACCTAATAATTTAATGCCCAGTAGTTTAAATATCTCCGGTGTACTACAATTGAATTACATGAGCACCTGTACTCAAACATTGTAAACTACCAGGCCAATAATTTATACACTAATACACAGATAATATTATAAGCCTACTTGTATTATATAAAATTATTTATAATAACTATTACAAATTACATTTAAAATAATACTCTAAAATGATAAATGTATTATAGCATTATATATAATATACACATATAGTATATATTATATATAAGTGAGAGAGAGAGAGAGAGAGAGAGAGAGAGAGAGAGAGAGAGAGAGAGAGAGAGAGAGAGAGAGAGAGAGAGAGAGAGAAAGAGAGAGATTATAAGTTATAATATCTCTCTCTCTCTCTCTCTCTMTCTATCTATCTATCTATCTATCTATCTATCTCTCTCTCTCTCTCTCTCTCTCTCTCTCTCTAATCTCTCTCTTCTCTCTCTCTCTCTCTCTCTCTCTCTCTAATTCTCTCTCTCTCTCTCTCTCTCTCTCTCTCTCTCTCTCTCTCTCTCTCTCTCTCTCTCTCTTCTAGTATGAATCTCTCTCTCTCTCTCTCTCTCTCTTCTCTCTCTCTCTCTCTACTCTCTCTCTCTCTCTCTATTTTCTCTCTCTCTCTCTCTCTCTCTCTCTCTCTCTCTCTCTCTCTCTCTCTCTCTCTCTCTCTCTCTCTCATATATTTATCTCTCTCTCTCTCTCTCTCTTCTCTCTCTCTCTCTCTCTCTCTCTCTCTCTCTACTAATATATATAATATATATATTATATATAATGCTAGTGTATAGCATTAATATTTATCATTATTAGAGTATTATTTAGACAACGTTATCATATTTATTTCTATTTAACAATAAATATGATAACGTTGTTAAAAATTTGACACTAATAAGAATACACTACAATTTATGCACACACTTAGATTATAAAACCAATATATATTATAGTATGAATTGCTTAATAAATGAAAAAATGTAATACAATTTTATATCTATATATTTATATCTCGATATATATGAATGTACGATACATAACATGATTACATGACGTAATAATCGAGAGTCGTTATTCAACCACARGACTGTAATAATTTACACAACTATTGAATGTATTTATATAAATATATATATATTTTTTTGAATACACATTATAACACATTAGACATCAAAATCCTAATACTTAACCAAACATAACATAAGTGTTTTAGTAATGTATTGTTATTTCAATTGAATCAATGAATACAACACACCGTTTGATTATCCATTGTATTGATTGTTAGTTCAATGAGAGAGTCAGACAACAAATAGGAGAAAAAATAATTTTTTTTTCAAACATTTCTAAGAAATCAATAATTTATTTTTACAATTAAATAATAATAATAATAATAATTAATTTATATATGATATATAAAAATTGATTTTTGTTTGTTTGATACGAAAATCAGTTGTCATCCGAAAAACACGGATCACTCCATCAGCTGATGATATCATCCATCACTGGTATTGTCATACAAGTCATCGACACAGAAGAAGAAGAGGAAGTGTTGTTTGTTTTTATTGATTGATTTTTCCTGTGTTTACCATTTATTCGTCTTTTGGTTTTTTTAAAACAAAATATCAAAATTGGTTTCTCATATCTGATGACAATCTGGTATATGATATATCATAATCTATGATGAGATGAAGTGATACAATTGAACGACCAGATCATTGCCGGTGATTATCAACCTGTCGATCGACGTGTCAATTGTGTGACCACTTTGTATATATCATATCCTATTTATATATATCTGCGGCCAGTTATTCCTCAAATGTGCGGTGCGGTCACATCGAAAAACACAGATAAGCCGATTATGGATAACGAAGCCAAAGATAACAAACCAAGCGATCAAAAGCCTGCCCGACGGCCATCGATAACCATAAACGATGATCTGACAGATTTGGCGAGTTTATCGATATCGCCGACCGATACCACAGGCTGTGGCGGCAACGCTACCGGATCTGGTCGGACAAAAGTGGCCCTAAAGCCCGGCCATTCACTAATGGATTGGCTTAAACTGTGCGCCAAAACGCCTGATCTCGCGGGAACTGGCGGCCAATTACGAGCGGTGACTATTGACGAGCTTTCCAAACACAATACACTCGAAGATTGTTGGTTATGTATTCGTGGAAAGGTATACAATGTGACCCCATATCTTGAGTTTCATCCGGGAGGTGTCGATGAAATGATGAGAGGCGCCGGAACCGATGCCACCGATTTGTTCAATGAAATACACCGATACGTTAACTATGAGTCGATGCTGAAGAAATGTTTTATCGGACCGCTGGCTATTGACTGATGAAACCATTTGGTTGACCATTGGATTCATCCGATAGATAGTTATATAATCTATAATAATGTTATTGTGTTTATTGTTTTCCAGAGAATTGTTTTTTTTGTTATATTATAATACTATATAACTTTATATATTGTTTTACAGCTATTTTTTAAATGAAATCATATTTTAATTGTTAAATAATAATAACTTATTGGCCAATGATAATGTTAACCGATGTTTATTACTGTAAGTGACAAATATTGTCGATCACTAAATGGTTCCATTTGTTGTCTAGTCTTTATATATACAATATATTATACATAATAAATACGGTATCTATTATTTCCATTTATACAAAATTGAATTAAATCAATTAAAAATGATTAAAAAACCAACTAAATATTTATTAATTATTTATTAATTTGGCAAAATATCAAAGATACAAAAAAATAATAGTAACGATTACATATAGTTATCAATACACACACAAAATACTTAACGGACTTAATATATATATATAAATATTAGAAATCACCACAAAATGAGTACAAATTCACAGAAAAAAATTAAATAACAGAAAAATATGAATAATTAAATGATATATATTTATATGTTTAGTATTGTTGGCAATGTTGTGGTGGCAGACAGGGAACCGGTGGCTGTGGTGGTGGCGGCGGAGGCAAAGGCGACATCATATATTGCTGTTGACCGACATCAATGCAATTGCATGGAACCAATAGCTGTCCGAGTGGATTGTGCTCCAGACGTAACGGTGCAATGTTTGATGGAAACCAACAGATGAAATGCCAGCCTTCGATCGGATGGTTTTGAAAGACACCGAAATAGAGTGGAGGCGTTGGACCATCCAGTGGTGGATTGAATGGCTTTAAAACAATTTGATCCCCTGTTTTTTAAAAAAGTGGACAGTTAGGTTATCAAATATTACTATCGAGCAGTAATTAATTATAGAGCACCTGAAGTTTGTTGCGGTAGCGATTGCAGCGACGAGTCGGACATCTGTTTGACCATCTCTTTGTGCTTATCGTTAGCCATTGGAATATTGGAGATCAGATTCAACGGCATGTTTAGCGGCATTGGCTGAACAATATTTCGCATACTGGTACCACTCGAATAGTATTGACCAGAAATTCCATCCGGTAGACCATTAAATCTTTGCGGGACATAGCCATTGACAGGATATGGTGCCGAATAAGGAATATATCCGCCGCCACCACCACCACCAGCATTGGTGTTTATAAAACCATCATTAGGCAAAGAGTTTCTCTGCATCTGCTTTTGCGGTGATGTGGCAAGTGACCTCGGCTTAGCGTACTGTCGCTTATCATTGTTGTCATACTTGATCCCACCGGCGCTGTTATTGAGTGGACGGTCGTGAGGGTAGAACTTATTGCGATTAATTTGATTCAAATGAAGCGTATCCGACGACTTCTTAGGCTTAGAGAAGCGCCCCTGAGAGTCGCTAACACTATAACTTCGCTGATTACGTATAATAGGCTGATTTGGCGCCGATTTGTTAACAAATGTCAAATCGCTTTTCGTCTCTTCAGGCAATTTAATCTCCATATTGTTGACCGCATCGGTAACTAAATTTGTTTTAAATTATTGAATAAGAAATATCAAAAGTTTATACCACTCTTACCATTGGTGACTTCCGGTGTCGGATTATTGTTGACTTCTTCATTAAGTTTTACCGATCCGTTCAAATTCAATTGTTTCAAGTCTTCGGCGATCATATCGGCTGATAAGCTCTTGTCTTTCGGCACATCACTTGCGCTCGTAATCGAAGCCGAATCGCTGATCATTTCAAGATTATTATCATTGGCCACGAAAACTGGTGTCGTCGACCTGTTTCGCGTAACAGCAATACCGGGCATTTGGGTCGTTTGGCCAGTGGTCGGCTCGAAATTTGGTGCGTAATTATTGTACAACTGTTTCGGGCCATTCCTATAGTCACCTCTCGCTTCTCGGTAATAACCCTGACTACCATTAGATCGGTAGAATTGGCCGCCGCCGCCGCCACCACCACCGACATTGTTGCGGTCACCACCAGTGCCGAGACTTCGGTCACCACCTCTATAGTAGTAACCACTAGAGTTACGGTGCGGCCGACCATCTTGTTGGTGATGATGTCCGCCGTTACCGAAACGGCTATTTCGGTGATTATTAACAAATGTTTGATTCATTTAGTCGACTAAATACTACTATTAATACTATTAGTACTTCGGGTCTCGTAATTCAATACAATTAATAATATAAAAAAATAAATTATATGTAAATAATTATAATAATAATTAAACAATCGGTTAATTGCTTTAATATTTGTAGTTTTTTTCAATAATAATAAAAAATAATAATTAATAAATAATATAAAACTATTGCTAAACAAACTAACAAACAATTAATTTAGTTGTAATAAATGTGGTGCCGATTGAATGGTTAGAAAATAATATAAAAATGATATTAAATATCTGTAAAACAAAAAACAAAATGAATTCAAATAAAAGAGACAAAAAAAATTACTAATTATATTACAGTTTCTTTTAAACGTGTGATATATATATGTCTCCTATCAATAGGTTTTATGATATCCAATGAGTCAGTTATTCATTGATTCAATTAATGGCTTTAATAATATTATTAATATATCAAAAGTTTTATTGTCTATTATATTCAATGCAATGGATTAAACTGTTAAAACAAAAATCGGCTAATAGTTTGGTATACAGTTTGTGTGAAAAATATTTGACTATTAATTAATTTGACTAATTTTTATTAGTAAAAGGGATTCAATGTTTTAGACAAAAAAATAAAACATATTGACTTATAATAACTCATTAATAATTATAATTATAATTTTTGTTCATTATTTGTTTATTCATTATTATTATTATTATTTTATGTACAGTTCTCTCATCTTATAGTAATTTTTACTAATAGTATAATTGGTATTATTATTATATTAATAATATTTAGTAATAAAAATAAAAGTCATCAACTTTTGATAATTAAATTAAATTTTTAATAAGATTTTGTAAAATAAATTTTCAAAACAATTTTTTTGATTATTCACTTTCTGTCTGTATTTTATTTATGTTTAACTTTTTCATTAATAATATTATACTACTATTTATTTAATAGATTAATGATATTTTAAATTTTTGATTCAATAAATATCGTATTTAATTACTGTATTTAACTACAAAATATAAACCCATTTTATTAGTCTATTTACTGTATGTCTCCTTCACATAGATTTAATAAAAAGTAATTTATTTTTGGGATTAATTTTTTTATAATACATTAATATTAATTATTTTAAAACTAAGATATGTACTGTATATTATTTCTATACTATTTTGCATATTGTAAAAAATAAATAAATATTCTCATAGTAAACATATTAAACAAGTAATTTAAGTTTTTAACTTAAAAATTGTTAGTTAGCTTTTTATCTGTTATTAAAAATAGTAACAACAATTTTAATAAAAATAATACACATTAACTAATATATGTTTTAATATATTTATACTTTATATAATTAATATTTTATCTTTAATTTTAACTGAAATATTGATTAATTATACTATTGCTTAAATATAATATTAATCAATATATATTAACCTTAAATATTTTGTGTACTATTATTTGTTAAAAATATTTATCATCTATAATTATGATTAAATAATTAAAAATACATTTAAATAAGCAATTAAAAATAAAATGTTAACTAATGACAAATTAATTTTCAATAATCTTAGTTATAATTTTTTATAGATAAAAAAATTATTTTTAAAAATATGCTAAAATTGCATAAATAAATCTAAATATGTTATAAAAATCTTTATTAATTAATTTTAGTTTAGTATAAAAATACTTTTTAATAATTCATTACATAAATTTGTATAATTGCATTAATTTAAATATAATTTTGTATAATTTTATTAAAAATGTATAAATATGTTATTAGTTATTTCATTATATTTATATTGTTATATGTTTTGTGTGAAAATTATAATAAAAATACAGATAATACTGAATGGATAAAAATTTTCAACATTAATGAAAAATCGTCAAAATGTTCAATTGATTTATTACATAAATATTCTGATTTTGACAAAAGTTTAATTCAATACAACGGTAAAAATAAATGGATTAAAAACTACAAAAAGTTTTTCATAAATAACTATTTAAAAACATTTAGCAATTTATTATTTTTGAGATATATCTAAATCATACATAAAAAATTTTGACAAAAATTGAATTAAACAATACATATAATAATAAAACTGTATTATAATTACTGATTAAATTTATCCATTCAAAGTATTCACTTTTAGCGTTAATGCTATTATACAATACATATAAATAAATTAAAAAAATAAATAATTTAATTGACATTTTTTTTTATAACAAATTGTAGTTACAAACAGACTTATCTTAATGTATAGCAAAATATTAACTATTATCGAAGTAATACTTGTTTTCAGTATTTATAAGATTTATTTAAAGTTATTCATTTCAATTTGTTTATACAATAAATCCAATCAAAAATAAAATAAAATTTAATATTTTAAAACAGTATAATAAATTGTTTTTTAGTATAAAAAAGTTTGTATTGAATTCAATATTTATATATAAATAATATTGAAATATAATTCTTGTTTTCATTATGTTATGAATTGTTTAATTCTTAACTGCATTTTTATATTACAATTTATAACAACATTTTATTGTTTAATCCTATTTGATTGAATCGCAAATAAATTGTTAAAAATTTTGTTGTTATCATTTTAAATGATTTTTTTGTGTAAATGATTTTGTTTTAAATAATTAATTTCATTATCATGTGATTCATGTCATAGGAAATAAAGATAAATAGACATTGATTATATTTGATTGAATTTATTAGTGAAAATGATTAACATGATTATAATATTTATTTAATTTATTAATTTCAAAAATTTATTATTAATTGTTTGTATAGAGTAGAGTATATTTGAAACTACAGTATATATTATTTGATAAAAATTCAGTAAAATTCTAATAAATCTCTTTTAATGTATTAAATAAATAAAATTTTTGATAATTTTTTACATTTTTATTTAAGTATTAAAAGTCGAATTGTTATAATTAACTGATCACTCAATTTGTTTGGATTTTCATTATATTTGTGTTGTTGTTGACCACAGCAGACATCAAAAGACAATTTAGTTTAAACATTAAAACCAGTGATGAGTCGATTTACGACATTCATTGTAATCGGTATTTTGGTCATTGATTTGTTGTATCTGTTGGCCATATCGACAGCCGTTGCCGATAGCAATGGCCTTTCGTGTCATAGTATGAATGGTTACGACTTTACAGCAATCAATGAGTATATGACATGAATTGAGTGAAAATTATTATTATTATTGAGATAATTGTTTGACTTTTTTTTAATTTGATTTACAGTAAAACATATAAATATATTCATAACTACACGAATACGTCTACTAATAAAACCGATAGTTTTGACGTTTTAATTAACATTTGTCGAGTGTTTGACACCAAAGATAAGACACCCGAAGTCTGTATTGGCCGACAAATATGTGGCCACAAGACCACTGATAAGACACCTATTGGTAATGAATTTATAGATATTTATAGTTTTAGTAATAATAACTGATTTGTAATTTGAATATTAGGCTATCGATTGAAGTCCGCAAACTCTAAACTAATAATTAAATTTTATTTTTGAAAAAAAAAATTAACTTATTTTATTAATAAATCAAACCAATATCTATAACAACTTGAGTATCAATAAAATTTTAATAATTTTCAATATTTTTATTAATATTTTTTTATAATAAAGAGATATGGTTTCAAAATAACAATATTTTTAATAATAATTTATAACATTTATTAATAATTATAATCACAAAAACTCTTCAAATTCTTAATTAGTTAATAATAATATTTTAATATTAATTAATAATTTATTTAATATTAAATTAATAATAATAATCACATGACTATATCGATATTATCCAATAAATGGTGATTTGGGATCAATTATAACAACTAAAGTATCAATCAATGGGTGAAGTTGTTGTTGTTGGATGTGCTCCACGAAGACTTACCATTGATATGATTGGTAAAACTGGAGCCATCGTATGTGGCGTCATATAGTTTGCCTTTCAGGAAGAGATACTTGTCGTCGGGTTCGGGACGATGTGTGGCGTAGCCCTCGGTGTAGAACCATTGCGCAACTTTGGCCGCTATACGCAGTGACGTCTCGTTGATGGTCTCCAGTGGCGGATAGACTCGTCCGACATCGCAGTCCCGTTTGGTAACACAATCGACCAGTGCTTTGGCTGCCACAAGAAATACCTCTTCTCTGATCTCATTGACACCGCAGGCCATGACTGCCAGTGCAACTCCCGGAAAGATATATGCGTTGTTTCCCTGTCCGGGATAATACGTCTTGCCGTTGTAAACGACGGGATCAAAGGGACTGCCGCTGGCGAACACACATTGACCGTCGGTATGCTTGTAGGCCTCCTCAGCGGTACACTCGGCTTTACTCGTCGGGTTAGATAAGGCAAACACAATGGGTCTCTTGTGAAAAGTGGCCAACTTTTTCAGTATGGCTGGAGTGAAAGCTCCCGACACAGCAGACACACCTAAAAACACAAACAATTTTGAATGAGTTAAATGTTTATTAATTTCTATCATTTTATCAATAGTTACCGATAATACAAGAAGGTCTGACCAAATCGACCACTTCTTCCAAATTCTTTGTGTCGGTCGCTTGTTTCGCGTATTGCATTTTGTGGGCGTCGTTGCCAGTGTTTCGGCTCAATGTGACCAAACCTCTCGAGTCGATCATCCAAATTCTATTGCGGGCCTCATCGGTAGACATACCCTCCTGTTCCATAGCCATCACTATAAGATCTGCTGTTCCCAAAGCAGCCTTTAGATTAAATAATTTAATTAATATAAGCAAAAGAATTGGCGGTAATTGTTAAATACTAGACATACCTCTCCGGCTCCTTGAAACAGAAACGTGTGTTGCGTTATTTTAGTTCCCGTAATCTTCAGACTGGCCATAATGCCGGCCACAGCTACGGAAGCGGTGCCCTGAATATCATCGTTAAAGACACAGTATTTGGTCTTATATCTCTTCAACAAACGGAATGCGTTATTATTAGCAAAGTCTTCAAACTGGATGAGCGTCTGACGGCCCCACCGTTTGACCGCCGCTTCCATGAATTCATCGATTAGATGATTGTATTCACTGCCCGTAACGCGATGTTGTTTGAGTCCAATATAGTACGGGTCGTTCAATAGAGACTCGTTGTTTGTGCCGACATCGATACATACGGGAAGTGTCAGTTCCGGCGGAATTCCGCCGATCGCCGAATACAAAGCCATTTTACCGACTGGTATACCCATACCGTTAGCTCCCAAGTCTCCCAAACCAAGTATACGTTCGCCATCGGTCACCACAATAGCCTATTAACGAGACAATTGGTTGATAATGAATAAAATATTTCACTTAAATAACTATTTTCCAAATACCTTGACTTCGGGTTCGGGCCAATTGGCCAGTATTGAGTCCACTCGGCCTGCATCGTGTACGGTAATAAAAAGACCGCGCGGACGCTTAAACAGCAGCGAATATTTTTGACAGGCGGCGCCCACTACTGGAGTATAGACAATGGGCATCAACTCGGAAGTGTAGAGTTGGAGTACCCGATAGAAAAGTCGTTTGTTATGGTCCTGGAGGTCACGGAGATACATATATTTGGCCAAATCGTCTTTTAATTGTCTGATGTTTTCCATAGCCAGTTCCACCTGTTGATCCTGAGTCCGGATGCATGGTGGTAACAGTCCCTTCAAATGCAGTGCCTCCCGTTCCCGGGTTGTAAACGCTAAGTCCTTTTAAATAATAATACAATTAATTAGAGATGCAATCAGTTTAACAAAAAAGTTATGTTTTTATTGTATATACAGTATATTGTTATTGTTGTTAATATGAGGAAAAATAAAGTATAATTAATTAAAGTCATTGTCAGTGTTAATATAGTGAAGGTGTGGATTAAAAAGGTGTTTTAATTATTATTTTGTTGAAAATATTATTTATTGTGATTATAATACCAGTAGTAGTAGTAGTACTACAGTATAATAAAAATTATCAATAAAAACATTATAAGTTATAATTTATTAATATAACAATGTTTTGCATCAAATATTCTGCTAATTATTTATAATTCAGTGAAAAAGTTTTCTTTATTAGCTATAATATAATACCTGTATATATATATACAATACTACTACTAGTAGTAGTAGTAGAGTCAAAGCATTAAGTATAGTACAGGAGCACTGGTAGCCCTGACCCAATCCCCTATTTTTTATGCAAAATTATATACAGGAATAGATTATTATTATCATTATTACAATGCTATTATTATTACTACTTCTTTGGTAAATTTAATACCAATATTATTGGCGTTTTTTCCATAACATACTCATTAATAAATAGCTGTAATATATTTTTTTATGATATAATAACAATGTATTTTTTGTATTAGATATAAACAAATCATCAAAAAAATAAACGTTTGTAATAATAATCAGTACGTAGGAGTGTCACGAAATTACTATTACTTAGAGATAATATATTATTATTATATTATAGTACTATAATAATAGTCATAATTTGTCTTAATATTAGTTTTAATTGTGATTAAAAATGCAATTATTATTAGTTTATTAAAAAATATATAAATATTTCCGTTAAATGTATAATATTTTTTCAACAATTATCAGATATTTAATTTAGTTAACAAAAACTATAGCTTATTAACATTATGTGATTATATTATATTATATTAATAAATGGTTTCTATTAATTCAAGGCTTGTTTTTTTGTAAAAATGTATATTATTTTCAAATCAATTTATTATATCATTATAAAGCTGCCATCAATTATGATTAATTGATATCTCTTTCAACACAAACACATAAAAATCATCCTATTTATCTCTCAACTATCTATCTATATATCAATCAAAATATTAAATAACTATCTATTAAAAAATTTAATATTAAAAAATACAACAAAAAAAATATTTCATTAAAAAATCATAGGAAGTCTAAATCACGATTTATCCATAAAAATTTTAATTTTAAATATTATTATTAAATATTATACAATATAAAAAAAATGTACAGAAACCCTCAAATTGATTTTAATCGCTTAATTTTTGTTATTAAAAAATCACACAACATTTTCATAATACATATACAGTAGATACTGTATTTATTGAATTTTTAAAAATAATATTGTTTTTTAAATACAACCATAATTAAATTAAATAATTATTATTTTTGTTAAATACCAAAATCAATGGCCTTTACTATTAATATTATGCAACTAAACAAAAACTAACACAATATAGTTAGTGTTAGTGAAAAAAAGTCTAATCAATCAATTGAATGATAGTTATAATCACTATAATTATAATTTCCAATAAAACATTTTTATTGATAATTGTGTACAAAAAAATATCACACTAATATGCACACAAACAAATAAAAAAAAATATTAATAATAATTGGAAAATACAAATATACAAAAATAAAAATAAACTAAAATATTTCCAACTTTTTTTAATGACTTATCTTTAAAATACTATTTAACAAAAAAATGGTTTCAATAAAAAAAATTAAAATTGTTTAATAGACTAAAAGATAGGGCGAAGTTTTGTTGTTTTTGTTATATATATAATAATAATATTGTAACATAACTTCAATTTTTGTATAGATCTTAAGTACAAATATAAAATAACTTTTATATATACAGGAAACATCAGATAAATAAATATAACTTAAAATATCAATGTTTTACTGTAAATTGAAAGTGAAATATTACATAAAGAGTTGTAATAATAATGCAATCGTGACATAGAGTATAATGTTTACATAAGAGTACAGTTATAGCTTATAAGTATCTGATGCAAGATATTAGGTTTATTGTGATATCGATATTTTCAATCAAATAAATGTAATAATATTTCCCATAAAAAAATTTTATATAAAATATTAAAATAAAATAAAAACAACATTTTAAATCAACTATATTAGTTGTCATGTTAGATTCAAAAAAACATATTGATATAAAACATTATATTTCAATACATAAGTGTCTAATATAGTAAAATAACTTTCTAAACTATAATAGAGATTTAAAAAATATATTTGAATATACAGTATAATAAAACACTTTATTTAATAATGTATATAAAAAGCACTTACTTTATTAACATTGGGTTCCCGGAGTAGATCCATACCAGTGAGGTCTCGGTTATTCATTTTGTTAGTCGTTGAGAACCAGCGGGTGTGTTGAGTGACACCAATACGATGAAAATTGCGGGGACCGGCACACAGACAACGGGTCGACTTTTCACAATTGCAGCTACAGTTGGACAGTGTGTTTGAACAACAGGCGCACTGAAAACGCGATTTTGAGTCACATTTGCCGGCTATAAGACCCATAGTTAGTGTAGAATATGCGCGACTATTCAATTGGGATATTGAGGTATTGATCGGTGAACTAATACCAGCAGATAGTATACAAGTGCCACTACTTTTAGTGGTAAGTGTGCCTAACTTTGGGCTTAACTTGATCTCTGGTCTTGTGGTGGTATTGTAGCGCTCAGTGGTGATGGCAAATGGTTTATCAGCACTGGTAGCATAATTGCATTTGCTATTATTATTATTATTATTATTATTATTGAAGCTCTGATAGTAGTCTCGCCTCTTATGATAGCTATTGACATCATATGATGGTCGGGCGTTACAACAGCGCGAGACAACTACCACACCACTGGCGCTAACTTTGCTGAGCTTATGTATATTTTTTAGGTTATTCATTGAGAGAGAAATTTTTTTCCAATTATATATATATTTATATGTATATATAATATATAATATTAAGTATATATGATATATTTTGATTCAATTTTGACGTAAGATATACACGTAACTGAGCCGGCATTCAGTCATGACGAGGTCAACCGGTTTTACAGTTTATTTTCTTACAGTGCGAGTGATTAAAGAAAAAAAAGATACAGAGAAAGTGTGTATTTGTTTGTATGACTCAAACACAATAACTTTTATTTGAATGATAATCTCCCTGAGCTGATACTTATTTTAGGTACTAATTAATAAATTGGATGACTTTTGACTGTGAATTTTGTTTGAATATTGTTTTTTTCTTAATATTTTTTTCTTGTATTATTTGCTTCTTTATTTGAAAAACTTTTTTTTCAATATTTATTATTAATATTTAGTTTTTTTGCTTTTGTGTAAATTTTAATTGGTTTTCTTTATTTTTTTATTATCATCTGATTTATTATGAGCTTTGCTTTTATAAACAATGCTATTGACAGACACATAATGTGAGAGAAAGAGAGAGAAAGAGAGAGAATAAAAAAGTATTAAAAAATCATATGAGGGATAAAAAATTGTTAAACAAATTGATTATAACAACAAATAAAACATTTTAAATAACAATTATTACGATTTAGATATAAAATATTATTGTATTGTCTTAATTTCATTGAACATACAAATGTTTGTTAATATTAAACAAATAATAAAAAACAACATATTTGATGATTATGTACTGTATATCCTAACTTATAAATCAATTAAATGCTCAAATTGTTAGCAAATAAAAGTTACATTTAATATGATATATTATTTTCAAACAAACACAGACATAAAATTCAACAAAAACATAACAAATTAATTTGTTTCGACATTATATATATATATATATATATATATATATATCATATAATATAAATGATGTCAAAACTAGGAGATATCGAGACATATGAATAGATGTTTAGTCAACTAAACAACTTTATCGCCAATAAAGACAACAACAAAAAACTTGTGTTACATGATGTTGAACATTGAGGGCATGACTTACCATTATATTTATGATATTAGTTAAATAATTGTGTTAATTAACTAATACAATACAGACATTTGACTTTTTTTGTCTATAAAAGTAATTATTTAATTAAAAAAAATATTATTAAGTTTTTAAATAATTTAAAATAGTTAGTATATCCTTATTGATTGATTTATTCAAATAATTATTACTTTTCTTTTACTAAATATTCTGGCAGTTATTAGTAATTACAGTACATATTCATTATTGATATTATTTGACGTTTATTTTTCTAAAAAAATGAATTTTAATCAAATCATTATATTGCGGATAAAACAATAATCCAAAATAATGATCATAAATAAATATACAGGTATTTCTAAATTTAAGCAAACATGTAATTAGTTTATAAAAAATATATGTTTATTGATACAAATATGACATCAATGACTTTTAAAAAAAACTTTTTTGCTTAAATGCTTAACTGTATATACAGTATATTAAAATGTATAAATATTATATTTTTAATGTATGTATATCTCATTGATCTCTAAATTAATGATACTTTTTATTATTATTATACAGACTAAATATTATTAATAATATTGTAATTATAAAGTTAGCAATATTATAAATCGATAAAATCGTAACATTAACTAATTTTTTGAATATTATATTAAAATATGTTATTATGGTATTCATTTATATATCTTAAAAAAAGTTCATATATTTTTCACACCCAATTATTATACCGTATATGTAGTATTTTATTGATTATTAAATTATATTTATAGCTAAATAGTAGTTGCAATAAAAAAAATAATTTGATAAATATCTAATTAACACTAAAAATAAGGATATCCTAGTTATTTGGTTTTTTACAGACATTTTATTTTATAAAATACAAATATTTTTCAAAAATACAATTAAAAAAATGATGCATCAGTAAAAATTATGTTTTGTAAATAAAAAATTGATAAATAAATATTGAAAAATAATATACAATTTTCAATACTAATTTCTATATGTTGCATAATAGTAAAACATTTTTATTTATTATTTAAAAATGTTTTTTTTTCTCTCAATTATTTATATAATTATCAAATAATCTATAATCTATTGTATTATTTTATTATAAACATCTATTTATTGTACAAACATTATTAATTATAGGTAATGTTGAAAACAATTGTTAAATTTGGATATTATTAATCAAATATAATCAAATAAAAAACCAACAAAATAATAATACGTATGAATTAATTATTTATATCCTCCAAAAAACAATATAATTTTAAATATAAGAAATTTTTAATTATATAATATTTCAATTTACCTTAAATTATGATATTTTATTTTATATAATAATAAAATATTTTACACTTTCAGTAAAATAATAATAATAATAAAAGTATTTTGACAGCTCATAATATATATTTCAATAACGTTATTTTGAATTCACAATTTAAGGTGTGTTATATTATATAAAATGATTAATTTAAAACTTATGAATTAAAAAATATTAATATATAAAAACTTATTATAATAACAAAAAATTAAATGATTAAATCAATTCAAATATTATGGCTTTATTTGTGCATTAATTATATTTCAAAATTAAATATCATTGAATGGATAGATATTATTTAAATTATTATAAAATATGCAATTATATATACTGTATATATAAACTAAATTACTTAATTTGTATTTATATGTATCAAAGTCAAGTCAATTACACAATATTATCAATATATTTCAGATTTTTAAACCGCTATCATTACCTTTAATTGTTATTTATTGATAAATATCATTATATAGTATAATGAGATTTACTGTTTTGTTGTAATATAACATTTTAAAAAACAATAAAAAGTTAAATAATCCGTTAAATAAATCATTAATCTAGTATTAAATATTATTAATGATATGTTTTATTATTATTATTATTATTTTCATTTTTCATATTGATATTGATATTAGCGATGAGACATAACTATTTTTCCCCCATTCAATGCTATACTAATTAAAACAAATTAAAAAAAACATTTGTCTTAAAGGCTTTTCAAATATTTGTAATAATAATAATTATATATACATTAAGTGTTTGAAATAACTTATTATTTCATTTTATTTAAATTGCTATTTATAAATAAAAATAAGAGAAAAACTAAAAATATTAAATTAATTGCAGAAAATATCTAAAATAAAATCTCTTCTAACGTAAGACAAAATAAATAAAACTAAATGTTTAATATAAATATTTTTTAATCATTGTATTATTATTATTATTATTATTACATTACATTGCATTATATTATATTTAAATATTGAAAAACATGTAAAATGTATAAAAATTTGATTTTTTTCTCTTAAATTTTCTCTTTTTTCTGTTACTTATATTATATTAAAATTTTATATAGATTTTAAACCTTATGAAATAAAAAACTTAGTTTTTAAATGTCATTTAAAATAACAGCAAATACTTTGTTGTAAAACTGCAAATAACTGTACAGTATATCTAAAATATTACTGTTTTAACGTTACAACTGTATAATATTGATATTACAATTTTGTAAGCCATTAATATTTAATCTCAATTTTGGTTATATTTTTTTATAAAAAATGTTTTATGTATAGAATAATAATTATATTGAAACAAAAAACATTGAAACCATTGAAATACATTATTTTTTACTAACTATTATTGTGTAATACTTTAATACATTAATATAAAAAAAATTATATGATATTATAGTCTGTAAAATTGTAATTAAATAACATTAATGAGTCATATAAACTGTATATCATATTATAATATTATTGATACTTTGATAAATTAATAATAATATCATAATAATTGTTATTCAAACATTTATTTGCATTTATATAATAATTAATTACTTACATTGTCTTGGGTTTAAATATAGTATAATATATTTTAAAAGATAGATAATTATAAATTAGTATTATTTAGCCAATAATAATGACAATTATAACACAGAATATTCACTCACAAAAAAATTAAGTCTAAAAATTGTTTAACAAAATACAGATATCTCTCTCTCACTCTGTTTAAAATATTAACAAACAAATACACATTTGACTAATAAAATAATGTTTTTTTAAAAGACACTAATAGATGATAACAATAGATAATAATAATAATTATTATCTAATAAAACAAATGATAACAAATTGTTTTTGTTGTCTCAAATCTATGTGTATTATACTTATATGACTATTATTAGGTGTGTTTTGTGTGTCTTTCATATTATATCATTACAATGAGTTTGCGTGCATTCAGTGTAGTATATATTCATCAATGGGAACCAACACCAAAGCAAAAAAAATGCATTTTCATAGCCCTAACCATAAAGTATATGTGCTCTCAATCTATACAATTAATGTACTGTATATATACAGTGATGATGTCTATGTATTATACGGTACGACCAGATTCTGATAGTGTTTGCATTGCAATACATGAGATGAGTAATAATATTATAATAATATGACTATAATTAGCCATCAAATTGTGATGTTTTTTTTAAACATAAGAGTTATAATAAACAGATATGTATATTGTGTGACAGTTATTTGATAATACAATAGACGATATTTAAATCATATTTAACTAAGAAATAAATCGTAGACTTTTTTTATTAAAAAACAAATCTAATATATTGCTAAATAAATATATTATTATTGTTCATATAAATGTTGAATTATTTTTTATTAGAAATTCTCTTATAAATATTTTCATTAAATTATAACTAAAAAATATTATTATAGGAAAATTTTATTCTAATTAAATATAAATTTTCAAAATTAAAAAAAATATTAGACAAACAAATCGTTGTTTAAATGTCAGAACCGTACGAAAGACGGCGTTTCACTACTAATTTATATCATTAACTTTTTTTTAAATGTTATTTAATATTTTTATTATTTAGTATAAT